CCCCAAAACCCCAAAACCCCAAAACCCCAAAACCCCTAACTTCTATTCCTTGATTGATAAAATAAAGATAGTATAGGGTTACGAGTGGAAGAATGAGGAAAGAAGCTCCTCATCTATTTCTTGCTGAGGAGATAGCTCCTCAGCAAGGAGTACTGGTTCAGGAATCTCGCTGTCATCCGTTGAGTCTATCTTGTTAATAGACACCAGTTTTATATCAACTGCCTTCTTCGACTTAGCCTTTTTACCTTCATATTCAAAGACATGAAAGGTGAAGTGTATAGAGTACCTATTCTTGCTTTTAGAGAGTAATTCCTTGGTGATATTGGTTTTCTTCAGGTCATCATAATGTACAAACATTTCTTCTTTAGTTCTGTCAATGACTATGAATCCATAGTCTTTGGATTCAGTAAAGAACTTAAGTCTGCCAGACTTACGATCTTTATTCCTCTTGTCATTTTTATTTCTCTTGTTCTTGGGCTTATTTAGTAGTTGAACTTTTTTGTTCTTTCTTCTCTTCCTTACTAGACCCTTGCTTCTTCATCAGAGGGCTATTAACAGGAGAAGAGATTGAAGTTGGCCTATCCTGATTAGGATCGGCCAGGCCCAAGGAGTTTACTCCTTTCAGTCCAAGCTCTTTGCTGTACAGCATTGGTGAAGAGATGTTCTTCTGCTTGATGCCTGAAGGAGTAGCCTTCCCTGGAGGAATTCTGAGTAGCTCTTGCGAGCTATGGGGCAGACTCTGTCCAAAAGAAGAGTACCCTGGAGGAGTCAGGTTCTGCTTGACGAAATTGACGTTCTTTGCAGAAAAAGAGCCCTGCTTATGCAGGGCTGGTACTGAGTGGGCTTCTGGGAGGTGATTGAAGGCAGGTTGATACAGAGAATAATGAGGGTAGTTCTGTTGGAAAGGTACAGAATGATGGTAACTGTAATTAGGGTGGATGCTGTTGTGCATCTGTTGGTAATACCCACCGTGAGCAGGCTGAATATGAGCCTGATGGTGATATTGAGGAGGATAAGAGTTGCCAGGATGGAAATTAGGGGATTTTTGATGGTACCTAGGCTGAATGTAGTGTTGATGGTTTTGTATGTGCTGGATTGGTTGGTGGTAGCCATGGAAATTTGCCTTCTGTGGTGTGAATTTTTGCTCAGTTTTTGGGAAAACAGGATCTAGTGTTTGGTATGGGACAGATTTAGAGGACTTCACGTCGATTTGATTATCTGAGAATCTTTTAGGGTATTCAACAAGATTCTCAGGCATTTTGTCTTTTTGCTCTTCATGAATAAAAATATTAGGAGTAGAAGAACACTTGTCCTCTTTTTCTGAGTTTGTTGATACAGATATATTATCTTCATTATTTATTTTTAAAAGATTTGTTAGGATAGAATTTCTTGTGACTTGGAGAGTCTTGATCATTGAACACATGACTGACAAGCTTCTCCATATGATTATCATCTTCAGAGTCATGATTACCATGCTGATTAAAAAGGTCAAAGCCTCCTGGATCTTCGTTGTTCAATGACGTTGAGTCTGGGCTAACGTGTCTTCCTTTGTATTTGCAGTAGGCTCTTGAACTTGTTTTCAATTTGGACTTTAATGAGTCGATTCTCTTATTTGAAGCACTTCTATTTGAAAGATTACTTGCAGTATTGGGGGTGTTGGTATTACTACTCATAAAATCATTTTTGGAAATTTCTTTTTCCTTATTTATTGATAAGTTATAGAACTCTTCGTCGCCATTATTTCGAATCCAGTCCATCCAAAATGTCTTTTATAATCGCCTGAGAATCGACAACTGAGGGTGTATTCATGGAGGGAAGCTCAATTGAATATTTAGACAACTTTTCCTGACAACTTCCGTGCTTCAGTATAACCACAAAGAGATCTTTCTTCAAAGCAATTTTTGAGATTTTGATGGATTCTCTCAGAGCATCTTCAGAATCTCTTTCTAAGTACATCTTGTGGTATTCTTGGTCAAGGTAGTCTGATACATGGTCTTCCTCTCTCGTGTGTATTTCTGGTAGAGAAATAATAAACTTCTTTATGTTTCCATCTCCAGTCGGAAGAATGCATTGGCATATCTCATCTGGAAAGGAGTCAGCAATCTCATCATCTTGGAAATAAATCTCTGGGTTGAGATTGTACATAGCACAGAGAAGCACAAGTGTAATCTCAAAGTCATACTCACCATTCATAATATTTGAAATATAATTCTCCATTTTGCTGTCTTGGAGGCCCAGATCATCCAAGATATTAGAAATTACTTCATAGTTCTGAGATACGAAATTATTCAAGGAAAATTTTACAGCACGGGACTTATTCCCTGTGAAGTACAAAGCTGAAGAGAAATATGTGAACAAGTCCAGAGATGTATCATTATATGATCCAGCTGCCTCTCCTTTCATTTCCAGATATTCCAACATGCCACTATGCCGGGACCTCACTAGGGAGGTCCCGTCCCTGGCTTGTAGGAGGGAATTGAACTTTTTGAGCAGAGAGATTCTTCTTGTGAGGATCTCAAATAGAAGTTCAGAGTTTGGAAGGTCCATATAGCTTAGATTCTATCTATTTTTATTATCATTATATTAAGACTAACTAGGGGTTTTGGGGTTTTGGGGTTTTGGGGTTTTGGGG